AGCCTAAGGAGCTCCTACCGTCACCTCAGCCTTAGGAGGTGGGGTGGGAGCTTGGTGCAGATGCTCTAAATATTGATCAACTCAAGAGAAAATGTCAGTGCTAACTACACAAAATACATTCACCAGATAACTCCACTTTGAAGCTTGTGCATGGAAACCTATAACCATGATGAACTAAAAGAACACACAACATTGATTTTTCAAATTGATTTTATTATACTGATTTATTCTCTTTACAAAATATGACTGGCAAAACAAAACATAAGGGAGATTAAATTTTAAAATTTGACAAGATTCCACATTAAACTCTCCATAATCAGTCAATTAGCGATATTTGACAGTAAGTTTATATTTTTCTTATTTTTCAATCAATTTCCCAGAAACTGGTGGATAAAGTCGTATATCAGCACCTTGGTCAAAAATAGTTAGCACATTAGTCAAGTTGTTTTTGCAAATAAAAAGATCAAATAGGGTTAGCTTCATCTATTCTCACAAAATTCTCAACTGTATATAAAGCGCCAGAATCTCAGTCACTCCAATGCTACATTTTGAGATCCCAAGAGGCTTTTGAAATTAAGCGGGTTTCCACAATATACTCTCCATAGTCCATAATAACTCAAGCTGATACCTTGGCATTAAATTACTGTCATTTTATACAATGAGAAAAACCTTAATTTTTTGGACAATTCCCCAGAGATTGGCAGATAAAGTCACATACCAACACTTAGGTCAAAATAGTAAGCACAATTTCCTAATCTAGGTTAATTATTTTGCAAATAAAGAGATCAGACAGTGTTAGATCCCAATATTGCATCCACTTTCAGTGCACTATCGACTGATTAAAGCAAGCACGCTAAAATCTCAGCAACTCAAACAACAAACTTCGAGATCTCAAGGGGCTTTCGTGAATTAATCAGAACAAAGATCGAACCTTGAGGAACCGGGTAGCGACCTCCGGCGGGTGGCCGGCTGCGATCTCGAGGAACGACGAGATCATTTCTTGCTTCTCCACCGCCGTCGGCGACCTCTCCATTGATGCGATGAGATGGGAATTTGATGGTTTTAGGAAAGAGAAATCAAAACCCTAGGGTTTCGTGAGAGAGGAGATTTGACATGCGCGAGAGAGACGTCTTTTTTCTCGGTTTATACCCATCGCAGTAGATATATTACGTGTGTATATTTATGGCTTATTTGCACTTAAATACTCCACAAAGTCTCATTACTCATTTTGATTCTTCAAAAATTTTCTTTTGCCCAAAAATTATCATAAAGTTC